TTACAATTATTTTTTAGTTTTTAAACTTCAAAAATACTAACTAGGTTTTAATATTCAAGTTTTGATACTATATTTTTTTAAATTCATAATATTGCTAATTCACTTAATTTTTTTTTCATATATGGATAGCTATTTTCTACTTATATTATATAAAGATCATGAACAAAATAATCAAACACAATCTATTAAAAATATAATACAAGTTTAAAATTTAAAAAAAAATCCTAAATTTATAGAGCAATATACCATGATTTATCATAATGTCACATGATATTTAGTCATCACCCACTATAGCCCACTAGCCTTGAGCTTGTGTGCCAACTACCAAACTAAATGAGAATGAACTTTGTGAGGGTTTTGAAGTATTCCGCTTTACAAAAGCAAGAGTAAAATTTAGTTTTGTGTCGAGAAAGAGAGAAAAAAGAGGTTTGTGTTATATTTCAATTTTAGTCTTTTAAAGGTGTGTGTGAGAGAGAGAGAGAGAAGGGGGAGAGATGTGTGTGAGAGAGACTTGAAAATTATGATGACAAGTTTAAACGTAATTGAAAAAAAAAAGGTGTGAACATGAGTTTTTTCAATGAAAAGTGTGAACATGAGTTTTTTTCAATAAGTATAGTTTTATTGCTAGTTCTTAAAAATTTTGATTTTAAGGCGTTTTAATCTCATGGGTTGAATCAATAGACTCAATTTATTTAAGTTGAAATATTTTTTTGCGCTAAAATCTAAGTTTTAAGTGGATCTTATTTGTTATGCGTTTAGATTTTTATCTTAGCTATTAGTACACATAATAACACGTCTATAAATTATGGGACATTCTTTAACATTAAACTCAGGCTTTTATTGGTCTTATGCTTGCGCCAGCCCCACAAAGAAACACTTTATCATTATAATAAAACTCTCGTCCTAACATCGTACCTTTTTTCAATGAGAGTGTTTTCTCCTAACCATAAACTTTCTAGATTTATGGCTACAATATATATTTCAATTCTCAAATGCGAGCAACCATTCATGAATTATGCACATTAGTTAAATTTGAATTTCGACCCGAGGTTCAAACTCAAGATGTGTCTGTTGACTTTTTAGTCTTTGCTCGACTTGTATGGGTTGACTTAAATTTGAACCACTGTCCACCTAGCTTGATTAAGTAGTGTGAGCAATGAACTGATTTTTGGGTTAAATCTTTTCAATGAGAAGTAAAGGGAACGGCTTCTCACATAATCATTTAGAGTCATGTGGTAAAGTTAGTGACATTTGACTCTTTTTTCTTACTAGACCTCATCATGTAATTAACTCCTAAGCCTTCGTACTCTTACCTGTTTATGATGAGATACAACTTCACTTTAAAAAGGGTTATGTTGGAGCTGGAGTTCGATTTAAAAGTCAAACTTGCACTATGATTAGATGCAATGTTGTTGTTTTTTTTTTAGTTCATTTGAGTTTTAATTTTTTTTTATTGGGGATTTGATTTGATGATTATTATAGCAATATATAGAGTGGGCCTCTTGAATGACATCTGAAATCAGCTAGGCTAAATTAAAGAACGAGTTCGTTTACAAATTATGTTGAATATTTTACGATGACTAAAAGAGTAAACACAACCAGAAAGAGTAAAAACAGTAACAAAATTCATGGTCACGAGATGATTAGTATCCCACTTTATTGGATAGTAGTGTAAGAGGAGTAAAAATATGTTGGATTGGACGCGATTGAGTTGGGTCTCACTTATCCCATTTCCGGGTAGGAAAAATGGGGTTAGAGATTCTCATTTGTGCCTATCCAAGGACACAATTTGAACAATTACATTTAAGAATGTTAATCGAGCTGAGCATGTCGAGCTTGAACCCGAGCATGTCGAGCTTGAACCCGAGTATATCGAGTTTTTTTTTTAAACGAGCCTAAAAAATTATTCAAATTTGGTTTGTTTAAAAAATGACTCGAGCTGAAATTTAAATAATTCAATTATTTTACATATAAATGAACTGAGTTTTACAAACTCAAACTTGAGCCGAGCCAAACAAGCCTCCAAGTTCAGCTCGCTTGGAAGACGAATATAATTTGAACCGAGTTCTATTTGAATTAAGCTTGAGCCGAATGTCACACCCTTAGTTGCATTTAGCCATTGTAAATAGGTTTTCTCTACCCACTTGGAAGATGGGTTAAATTTGTGGCCAATGCGATTTCTCGTGTAAAAAACTATTATACATTTTACTTTTCGAAAAATTGGATTGCATAAGGAATATGGTGGTAAAATCTAATTTAAAAAAAAAAAGATTTCTTAAGAGGTAATTTGTGGAACCTATATAAATGTAATACATTTGCTAAGCATGAAATTTGTTAGAAATGCACCTTTTTCTGAGGCAATGTAAATGGTTGAATTGTATTGGGTTGGATTAGAAATTATAAAAAATTCAAAACATCGATTTTAATCCAGTGATCCAAACATTGCCCGAGTTAGAATTTTCTTTTAGTGTTATCCCACTTAAATGTTTCTTGATAATTGTCCTACACACGTGGGGGTAATGATCTTACATGTACTTAAACTAAATAATTACATGGTCCAATAAATCCAAAAAAAAAAAAGAGGGGTTGGGGGGTGGCGTGGGGGGTTGTTACATATGCATCAAACTTTAGTGCAATGGTTAACCTAAAAATAGAGTAGGTCTTATTTTTTTCTTTGGTGTGTAGAAGTAGGTCTACCCCTAACCAAAAATTTTGGGGGCCACCGAGATAACTATGGCCCTGACAGCGAGCCCAGATCTGTTCAAAGCCTAAATTTAAAGTTAACTTTCTTACAATACTGCGTCAGAGTGTTGGGAATGGGCCGAGGTCGGAAGAAATTGTTTTTTGAAACAAATTCTCTTTATAGAGAGACAAGAGGATTCCAGTTTAGCCACGGGTGGTATATTGGTGGGGCATTGGTCGAATTTTTTATTTTAAAATTAAAGATTTAAGTTTTAAAGTCTATGTTGGAACACGGTGATTAATCGATATGTTATAGCTAAGTTTGTTCTCAGAGGAGTAATGAACATAATTAGGAGTCTTATGATTTCATCAGTAAGAGTCGATTAGAGTGATCTATGAACGCTTTCTTTTGTTTCTATTATTTTTTGATTAATGTTACACAATCTAAATAAATTCAAAAAATTATAACTCAAATATATATAATATCTTGGATAAGTGGGTTTTAGCAACTTTTTAGTGGGACCCACACTATAAATGTTGATGGGATATCATTTGAGTTACAATTTTTAGATTTTATTTGTGTTATGTAATATTTTCATCATTTTTTTGAACCTATAAAAAAAAAAGGATTCTCGTGTAAAATATATTTTTTTAATTGATATTTATATATTTAATACTTATTTCAGTTAAAAGGTAAGTATGACTAAAATATTTATTGGTGAACAAGTTTACTTTAATTATAGGATTAATTAAGTATACTTTAATTAAAGGATTAAATATAAATAAAAAAAATTAATTGTGACAACAAAATTAGAATATAAATTATAAGATAACTGTTAGATCTGAATCATTAACATATTTACATATTATTACAATTATGGTTGTCAAAAAAATCGTGTTATGTCATGTTTTAGTCTTGTTTAAATTGTTTCGAGTTCAAATTTTAGTCAATTTGTACTTAAATTGATTTGTTGTGACCATGCATAATTAAGTTTAGTTTATATTGAGTTTATATTGCATTACAAAGTTATATTTATAAGAAATGTGTTTGAAAAGAAACTTCACTTAGTAATCGATCAAGTCGTATATTCATGTCGATCTATGTATTTTAGGGGTTGATAATTTCTAACACAATATAAAAATACAACTAAAAAATTAACATAAAATCAGCGAATTAGAGTTAATTATTTCTCAATACGAATCTATAAATGACACGACTCATTAACATGAAATATAAACGAGTAGGATTAATGTTAAATACAAATAAAACAAAATTGACAAAATTAACACGTTTAACTAGTATTGTAAAAATAAAATATCAATTATTTGTTATTGTTTATCAAATATTGACATAATTATTGCATAAAAAAATATTTTTAATCATTTTTATTATTATACTTATTAAGTTAATTTTTAATTTATAAAAAAATATGAGCTTAAATTCAATTAAGATATAATAAAATCTTAAACTTAAATCTTAAAATTAAATTATTTATTCACAAATTATATTGATTAACACAAACACTGTTCTAAAATAAATAAGTCAAGTCGATAAGATACGATTAATTAAATGAGTTAAATTAAAATTAACTGATACTCAATACATATCTGTAATAACACGACACAATAAGAAACAAAACCACACAATTGTCATCCTTAAATTTTTTGACGGATCAAATAAATTTACATGTCTATCAAATTCACACTAGCTCATTAAGGCAAAGTTTTATTCTTTATTTTTTAAAAACATATACCTTCTATTTTTAAAAAGATATTTTATAAAATAATAAGAATTTCTCTGTCTCATTTTTTAAAATAATATTCAATATGACAATAATACAACGTCTTAAATAGACATCTAACGCCGATACCATTCCTTTTAAAAATATTTACATTCCACGCGGGGTTATCCTAGTTTACTTCAAATTTTGACGAGCGTGACTTACAATCGCCAAAAATTCCCGTGGACTACACCACTTCCCAACAGACCATAGTTACAGCTTTATGCCAAAAAAAAACTTAACTGAAACTTTCGACATAAAATCCCTAAACTACCCCCGAAAGCTCATTCGCCGGGGTCCCCTCCCTCTCTATCTGTGGACAACCCCTGCAAGAGAATATCTGCAAAAACTTCAATTCTCGTCCTGTACACGTCGGCTCTTCTCAGACTCTCACAGAGAAAGAAGTGATTGAGATGGCGTGTTTATCACCCTTCCTCATTAATGGCATTTACTACTTTGCCACTTACCGCTCATCTCTCTCTCTCTCTCTCCTATGTCTATCTCTATCTCTATCTGTGCTATTGTTGTCGCTATTCTATGCCCTCAAAGCTCACCCACCAAGGCTCGGAACTTTGTTTTAGGGTTAGGGTTTTGTGGGTCTTCCGTATTCTTCGGTTACGTTTCAAATTTCGTGAACTTCGATTCTTCAATTTGCAGGTTTGTGTCAGTTTTTTCAAACTTGTCGTTTTGTATTCTTTGGTTGTATTTGTATATAGTAATGTACTGATATGTATTTTATGATTAATTTGAATAAGATTCCCTTTGGACTCTGTCACTTTGTGCTTCACTGTTTCTCTATCTATTGTGTGGAGCTCTGTGAAGGTATGTTTAGGTTTTGAGGAAATTAAGAAGAGAATGAGCGTTGATTTTTTTATTTTTTAATGCTTTTTAACTTCATTTTGTTTTGTGTGTTTGTTGTGTGTGGGAGTGAGTGAGTGAGTGAGTGTGTTGAATGAAGGCTATGAAGCTGTCTCTCTCTGGTTTGCTCTTGTTACAGGTAAACAGAAGTGGGGTTCACTGGTTTTCCAAACTTTTCACTGTTGTTCTGTGATGGAAGGTGGTACATTGTGCTCTATTTCTTTTGTATGCCATCGTGCTTTTGGTATTTCCTTATTGGTGGTGATTTTGAATCCTTATGATGATAAATCTGCAAAAACTGTAATTTTCATTTTCAATGTTATAGAACTATATGGATATAATATAGTCAGTATTGAGATTGGTGAATAAGGGTATTAACTTGGAAAAGAAAAGTAAATTGATGTAGAGTTACTGGAGTATTAATTCTTGGTTGAAAATTTCGGCTGGTTTTTAAATTATGTGCCTTACTTTTTATCTGGTGCTGATTTTCTGGTAAAAGAAAGATTTCGTATTTCTCAAAGTATTTGATGGACGATTGATTGAGTTGCCCTTTTTTGGTGATTTTATTTTATGCATTTTCACTTTCAGGTTGAGAATGCAGCTCTTTTTATTAGGTCCTGACTCCTGAAATTTAAAATTTCAAGTCTATATAAGAGATAGAGTATGAAGATGATGGATGGGCGGCGACACTCCGTTGATATTCCCATCTCCAAAGCACTGGTAGCTCTTAGGAGAGTGAGGTCACTTAGGGATCCATCAACCAACTCTACAAGCAAATTCTCTACTTTGGTTGAGAATTTGAACTGGGAGACAAACTCAACTGATGGGATCAGTCTAGGATTCATCAGTGGCAGCAAAGAAGGTGCTTATCATAATGATTTTTTAGGATTGCAAGATTACGGGCTATGCGGACGCATGGAGGAACATTTTGGTGATCATGAGTTGTATTACCGTCCGAGGAAACCCAACACTAAGTTTGACTCATGTGAAAAGTCAAGTTTTGTAAGAAATACAGGCGGGATGCAAATGAAAACCATAGTGGCCAAAGGGTCTAATTTATGTCAATCGAATCATGAAGGTGCTTGTGGAAACAAATTGTTGAGTGAAAGATATAGTGATGGTTTCGGGGACAAAGGGTTGAACATGACTTGCATAACACCTTCAAGTGCATGTTTGGAGGGTGTGGGTTCATGTAGTGAACCAATTGAAGGATCAAGGCAACTAGAAAGCATAGATCATAATGCATCAAAGCGAAAACCTCGACATAGAAGGCATGTTAGATCATCTAGAGCGGCAGCAGGTGACTTCATGAGTCATACAGGCAGTCCATGCTTATCCATAAGCGATATTCTGCTTGGAGGGTCCAGTCGTGGCACATCATCTAATGGAAATGAAGATGTTGAAGTTGTAGATCTGAATCACCGTGGATGTGGACTAAGCTGCTGCTGGTCAAGAACCCCGAGATTTAGAGAATCAAACCTTCCTTATGATCTAGAAGACCAGCCACTGCTATCGGGGGAAGTGGATGTGGCAGTTCTATCTGGACAGGGAAGAGGCTGCAAACCCATTGGTAATGCAAGTGCTGCGTATTCACAGAGTCCTAGGAGTCTTAGTCAGAAATTCAGGCCTAAATCGTTCAATGAATTGGTGGGACAAAATGTTCTAGCAAAGTCTCTTCTAAACGCTGTCTCACTTGGGAAGATAACTCCCTTTTATCTCTTTCATGGTCCCCGTGGTACTGGTAAGACATCGGCCTCAAGGATTTTTGCTGCTGCTTTAAATTGTCTCTCGCATGAGGACAACAGGCCATGTGGTGTGTGCCGAGAATGTGTTTTGTTCTTTTCTGGGAGGAGCAGGGATGTAAAGGAGGTTGATTCTGTTAGAATCAATGGGGGAGAAAGGGTACGATATCTTATTAAGCATGCCAAGATCCCTCCAGTTTCCTCACGGTATAAGGTCTTCATTTTTGATGAGTGCCACTTATTGCGAGGTGCAACATGGGATACTTTTTTTAGTAAACTTGAGGACCTCTCTGGGCATGTTGTCTTTATAATGATCACTCCTGACCTGGAAAAGCTGCCACGAAGCGCATTGTCGAGGTCCCAGAGATACTATTTTCCAAAGCTGAAAGAAGCTGATATTATGAATAGGCTAGCGAAAATTTGTGTAGCAGAAAGAGTGGACTATGACCAGGTTGCTTTGGACTTCATCGCTTCTAAATCCAATGGTTCACTTCGGGATGCAGAGATGATGCTTGAGCAGCTGAGTTTGCTTGGCAAAAAGATTACTATATCATTGGCCTACGAACTAGTGAGTATTGTATTGGTTTTGTCTCTTCCTTTGGTGTATCTCTGCAAACATCAAATTCATGCCTTGCCATGTTGGTGCAGACTGGTGTTGTTTCTGATGAAGAATTGCTTGATTTATTGGATCTAGCCTTGTCATCTGACACTTCAAATACAGTTAGAAGGGCAAGGGAACTGATGAGATCACGGATTGATCCATTGCAATTAATATCCCAACTAGCAAATATCATAATGGATATTCTTGCTGGAAAGTGTCAGGAAGGTGCTTCTGAAGTTAAAACAGAGTTTTTCAAAAGGCATACTTGTAAGAATAGTATTTTTTTTTCTTTCTTTCCATTTTATAGTGTTTTGTGAATATGTATCATAAGGTGCTCTTAGAGTACATGTCTCAGCCGAGTTGAGTCTAATCCATTGCACTGGTAGTTGAACTAGGTTAATGATGCTAATTAGGAAACTCAAGGTTCATCAATCTGGCCTACCCCAGCTCTGTTCATCAGGACTTGTTAGAAATTGTGATCGAGTAACTTACCAAATAAAAAGGTCATGTTATTTGTCAAAACATCCATTCTATGCAGAATTGAGGCCAAATATCTGTTTCTTTTCACGGTAGAGATTTGGCTCTGTATGCTTTAAAAGGCTGCAAGGGTTTTTCTATTTGACTATTTTTCATAACACTGTAATCATAGGGTTTTTATTGGCTGCTTATCGTGTCAGAGTGCATAAATGAAAATCATGATGCATATCACCCTTAGCTATTTTTATTCCTTTTTCTCATTTTAAGATAATTTTCCTCTTTGAAGCCTTAGCTGTTCAGCATAATGACTGGGTCCTTAAATAATTTCTTGAGTGCTTCTAAGTTTGAAATCTTGTATAGTCTGTATATTCTATGACTAGTTATTCCATCTTCCCTCCCCATGAGATCTTTTCCTTGATTGAGCCACAACTTTACAGTAATTATGTGGTGGTTGCTGATCTTATATATTTGCCAGATTTTGAGCGCTGCTACTCGAAGAGCAGGGTGTATTGATGTAAACAATTTGAATTGTTGAAATACTAAGGAACTGTATTCAAGAACACAGTACTATTAGTTTTTTTTTTCCCAGAATATCTTTTCATGTTAGAGCTTATCTTCGCTGATAACTAAAATTTCTAGACTCTGTTGTGCATGACTCTTAGCATCGACTGCAGTACTACTCTAGCTTTTATGGCTTGGGACTTCCAGATGGGGACAGATTTATCTGATGTGGTTCAATGGAAGAGATCTTTAACAAGAAGGTCTGATCTGAACAGGATAACTTCATGTTAAATGGGCCAGATTCCTTTTGACTATCCCTTGTAGAACAGTTTCTAACTTCAAACATAAATGAATGTATTTGCTGTCGCACCAGGGTTATTTAGTAACAGCTAGCAAGGCAATATACCTCAATTTCAACTATTGAACTTTAGGACATGACTGCTTGCCAGGAAAAGGAACAGAAAAGAAAAAAGAGCAAACGTATCTTGGGATGTAACTGATTCTGGTAGACTGGTACTACCACGTTCATGTTGTTATGACACTATTCACCTTTAAGAATGAACTTTGTCTAGGACCATCAGAGGTTTGATGGTGAAAAATAGGAGACCATTTTATTTGGCAGTTAAAGTATCACTGGAAGCACCAAGGGGACAAACCATGATCAGGTTTTCAAATACCGTGGCTACTGGTATTTCAATAGACCAGCCATGTGTATTCCACATGGTATACTTGACTTATTTTTTCGGTTAATTTTAGTTTTTGGCTCCATAGATACAATATCCATTAGGACTTCATACTGTAATTTATTGAGCTCTAAGTCCTGCATGTATTGCCATTGCGACAATTCCAGTATCACTGATTGTTGGAATGCCACAATGGCCACCTCAAACGATTTGAGACAAGATAGAAGCAAGCAAAGGCTCTGGAGTGGCCACATCTTTTATCTGCGTAGATACACATTTTAAAAGCAATCTAATGCCCATGTTCACCTGCTCACTTTCTTTCCAGATTCTACTTTCAATAGTTAGTTTGCAAATTTGTTAGGTTTACAAGGGTTAAAAAAATCTAACTTAGCTGGTAGTTTCAATAGACTTGGGCATGGTACTCTCTCTCTCTCTCTCATGCCGCATTCTCTCTATGGTGGAATTTTTGTATTTTTAATCTTTTCCTCACACATAAAGTCAAAGGACATTACTGTAGGACGTTGAGGCGAGATGCTATATGTTTATCTAAACTTTCAGATTTTAGAGACGTTATTGTTGTTTATTGAATTATATAATCTTGCAAAGTGCATCTAATGGGTGATTCTTAGTTCCGTTACAATTCATGGCTATATTGTCTGTCCACTTTTCTATTGCTCTTTCTCTAAGGATTACTATTGTTTATGACACAGCTGAAGCAGACTTGCAGCAACTTAGTCATGCCCTGAAAATCCTTTCAGAAACTGAGAAGCAATTGAGGACAACTAAGAATCAGACTACGTGGCTTACTGTGGCTCTTTTACAGTTAAGCTCTGTGGGTTTGTCTTTCGTGGATGCTAATGATTCGAGGTTGTGTTTAAGAACGGTACACCCAACAGGTGAGAATCATTTGGGTATTTTTGATTTGTGCATTCTCATTTCTTCAATGGTTTCAGAAGAGTGCTCTAATTATTTGACTTGTGCATTCTCACTTAGAGAACTATGTCTAATCTGTCTGAATGCAGATGGTGATTTTTGCAGCACATCATCTACTGGTGAGAGTTTGAAGCATGTCATCCCTTGTGCATGTGACAAGAGCAATTCTTCTAAGTTGGGCTTGATTGATGATAAAGGAATTCTAAACTCTATGTGGCACAAATCTACAGGCTTAAGTGAATCCAATTCACTCAAAAACTTCCTTCGAAGACGGGGGAACTTGGCTTGTGTATATTTCAACCAAGGTACATGCATTTGTATTTTGCTTCTGCCCACATCAAGAGCAAAATTCACTCTGCACTGGATTCGATATGGTGCACGATTATTGGTAACCTATGCATTGGCTCAATTAATTTTTTTTTTAACATTAGAAAACGAAGAGATAAAATGGAGAAAGGCCGGTGCTGTTAACTATTGCCTTGCATTAGTAATTGAACTTAAGTTAAATTTCTCTTTCTTGTATGTATGGGCAAGTAAGTTATCTGGAAACTAATTATTGTTGGCCTCAAATATTTTATTGATTCTTGGAAAAGTATTCTTATGTGTCTGAGTTAATTTATTTCATACAGTAGTCCCTCATATTTTTATATTTAAAATGGAACACCCCAGACCCTGCAGTCGGGAGCTCTGTGCATTGGGCCGCCCTTTATTTACACAAAATGGAACTTGCTTGAGGTAAGCATGAATACATATAGAACTGAAATCAGTCTGTGGTACTTGTTATTTCCTCAGTCTCTGTACTTGCATTATATAATTAACCCCCAAGTAACATATCTTTTCACTTAAGTGCTTTTGGCCTTGCCTGCATTCAAGTGGCCTCAGCAACTTTACTTGCAAATATAAATCAGCACCTCTGTTGCAAGTGCTGACTTTTGGCCCTTATTGCCTTTAACCAAACCACTAGACTAATTGCACGAAGATGGAAACATTTTTGTTTATGTGCTTTATCTCTTTCCATACTTTCCGATTTCTGAGGCCACAAAAAAATTGGTTTTTAGTAGCATTGTGTGGTGAACATTTGTAACTTGTGTCAGTTTCAACTCTGATCATCCTTGATCTAATCCTTCCCAGGCTAACAAAATTTCGCACTTGGCTGGAATTGCCGAGGTGAAACTTACCCCCATTAGTATCCTCCATTATGTCTACAGTTGAAAGTTTTGGTTTATATGATTAGGATAGAGCAATATATCCAACTTATGAGGATGTCTTGAGAGTTCCAGACTTCCAGTTGTATTTGATTCAACTTGAACCCGCGAGAATTGATAGAGACAAGGTAGAAATTTGGTGAAACCAATTTTCCTATTGGCTTGCTTCAATTCCATCATTCTTGTAAAAGTATCTGAGTTGTTAGTCCCAACTTTTCCTGTGTTTCGACTTCTAAAAATACTATAAGTCTTAGCACACGGTATGAGCGAGTTTCATAGAAATCTAGTTTTGAATCTTTTGACTCAACGCAGATATTGGCACATCATTTTGACACAAGTGCATATTGTGTGAAGGTGTCGGCCAATTTCAGGCTCTTTTTGAAATTTTCCTTCACTAAACCCAGCTAAGGGGGTTTGGGGGTGCAAGGCATCGTTATGAGCCCAAGTTGGAGACAAAATCTCTGTCTTCTTTGGTACATAGCATTAAATTAAGGCTGCTTGTTAGGTTTTATGAAAGACTAGTGTACTTTGCAGAAAGTACTCTCATTTTACTATGGTTAAATTGTCTAGTGTCGCTAAATTGTTTGCTATGGTTAAAATATGTAGTGTGGTTCAAAGGTTTACTGTGATTAAAAGTTTGTATGCAAATTGACAGACTGGTTAAAAGATAAAAATGTTAAGTCGTAAGATAAGCCATTGGATCTAAATGATCCGGGCCGTGTTTTTCTTTATGTAAGCAGGACACTATGTTTTATTACAGAGATGTCTGGGCACATATTAGTATAAAGCATCTTTGTTAGGATCTTAGCTTTTACTTCGCACCCTAGTCGTGCGAATTTTGTTCTCTCAAAAAGAATTGCGCTCCTACTCTTCCATAGTGTGTTTCTTATACTGTATCGTGTCAATAATTGTGTCCGTATATTTCACTTATAAGTGACATTGTGGGAATTTAATTGGGGAGTATAGGAATTGTGTTTGGGTTTTAGATAGCAAAGATGGCTAGATCTGACTCTTGGCCGGCAGTGATGAATTTTTTATTATTGGCTGATTTTATGCTACATATTTTTGCTTATTTTGCACATTAACAATGGGATATGTTTTGGTTTTGGCCAGTCAACTGGTATTATTATGTGTGCATGTATACTGTTTTTCCTTCTTTTTATTTGTAAGGTTTTGTATTCTGAATAAACAAAATGGTTTTTCTATGTCCAACATGTCATTTTTTATAATGGGTAAGTAATTTGCCATCCATTATGATTGATGGACCCCATATTGCAGGTATGGCAGTTGTTGAACTGGAGTTCCATCATCCTGAATATGTATCCAAGGCTGAGAAGTCATGGAAATCGATAGCAAGTGGACTACAGTCTATATTGGGTTGTAACGTTGAGATAAGGATCAATCTTGTACCTTGTATTTCTGTGACAATGTATAGCAAATTGAAGAAGCAATCCTTCAGCTTATTCAGTTGTTCCCGCAGATTGTGGCATGAATCGCAATCCACCAGTGAACAAGGAAGTGATCCATCAGAAAATTCTAATTCCACATCCGAAAAAGCCATGATAAAGGGGAAATTTGTTGAATCTGATTGTGGGTCACAAATGTTGCCTGTTTGCTGTCACAGTAAACAAACAGCATGCACAAGAAGTGGTGAAGGAAATGCTCTAAGAAATAGCGAGGGAAATGCACTAAGCGTTGGAATGACAATTTCCCACAGGTTATTAACAGATAATATGCCAAAACAGCATGGAGTTGGAGTTGATTCTTCCAAAAAAGAGAGAAGCAACTGTGCATGTGAGGCGTTATCTGCTCATGAGCCAGAGAAACATCCAAGCTGTTTCTTAAGAACTATGAAATCTCATAATAAGTTACATTCATCAGACGCCTCTCAGATGGCCTGTTTGAGGATTGAACCACGAAACAACCTTGTGTTGTCTCTTCCTAGCAGAACATCTTCTGAGGCATGTATGCGTGCCAGTAATCCTTATATTTTCTGCTGCAGTTCCAACAATCATGAGACCTGCTCCGGAGATGAGAACAGGTGAATTATGTCCCACCTCCTTTTCTTCATTAGTTCCTTCTTTTGTGAACTCTGATTTACTTGGCCTGCTAATCAACAAAAATAGTGGTGCTTTTGTCTCAAACACTGTTAGCATAATTGGTATACTATTTGGTTCATGGTGTCAAACTGGCCATGTGGTGCTTGGCGGGGAATCATGGATATGATTATCCCACATCTACTGTTTGCAGTTTAGAATAACTTATTTTTGTTTTGGTGAAAATATTAAGGGATGAACTCTTAAGGTCGCCTGAAGTCTTTCCGTTTCCTTTCTTTTGAATGACGAGTCAGTATGACTTAACATCTTGGAATATTAACTTAATGCATTATTTCCGCTTGCCCATCCATAGAACTTATGATTGCAACATCTGGGGTAGATTTCACTGTCCATTTAGCATGAGATGATTCATATGTTAAAATCAAAATGCATGTGAAATATCTGCGATGTGGGTCATAATTACCTTATTTAAGGCTAAATGAATGGTTTCTGTAACTTGTTTTCAAACTTGACTCTCTGTTTGATATCTAGGCTGATTCACTCATGTGCTATTTATGTTCTCATTTGAGAGACACAAGATAATTGATGTGGTTAGCAGTATCTCCAAAATGCAGATCTTGCTTTTGTTTTGTTTTTTTGGGTAGTAAATTTTGGAAACTGATGGGTAACCATGCTCTTGCTAACTTGTAAGAACCGTAAAATGCCCTATTACTCACCTCCGTGGGCACTTGATCTATTTCTGCGTAAAGCCTTTGATATTTAATAAAATTATTAGGCCAAATTGCCAATGTTATAAAATCACTTGAAGTTCTCCCCATTTGTCTTCCGTTTACTAGGTTTCATTTATTTACCTGACATTGTTTCTTGTTTTCTTTATGTATGCTAAGCAGCCGAAGGAAAAACTCAAAGGTGTGTTGCTGGAGAACTCCCACATTTCCCTTCAAGAAGGTGACAATAGTTTAACTATTTGTATGTTCTTGGATTTAAGTATGCATATGTTGGTTGGGTTGAATAACAACAATACTAATCACAGTTATCAGAACTGGACCGGATAACGAACCGGTTGAAGGATCGAGTTAATGGTTCACCGGTACAACCATTGGGTCAATTGGTAAGTCCGGTCGCATAATAAAAAATAAAATATATTATTAATAAGGATGAATATACCAAAAATGTTGAATAGGTATAAAATAACATTTTTATGCTATGGTAGATCAAATAAGAATCCAAAAAAAATCACAAATTACCTATTTTTTTTATAATTTGTTAAGTCTAATATAATATCAATAATACACTAATAGGAATTACAAATTGACATAAGTAGGAATATTATGATGACAAAAAAAAAAAAGATAAAAGATTGAAAGAAAAATTATAAAGCAATAAGAGGATGACTAACAGTACACTGCTATAACACGAATCTCATGTTGGAAACACATTGCAACAAAGAAGCACTAAGCTTCTATAAAAGGCAACCAAAGGCTGATCTACTTTTACCATGCGGCGTTGGCTTAATAGCCACTAGATAATGAAGAAGTTTAAATACTTTATTTCAAACCAATGGGTGCTTACTTTGATTGGTTGAACTGATTGGTTTACCTGGGTTTAATAAAAATTTGTCCGGTTTGATTGAGTTTTTAGTGGTTTGATTTTGTTAAGTTGAGAGAATTAACACAATATTAGAGGGACACAGAGAGTGGTCAAAACTTAACCTACTTTTCACAAACTACTTATATTTGTAGTTAACTTGTAATGATATAAAAGACATGCATACCCTCTAATATTTATACATAATACCCTAATAAGGTTAACACTCCCTCTCAATCTGGATTATATATATCATATAATTTAAGTTTAAAATAAATTGTTGTAAAACGTGTACGATTCAATGCTTTGGTAAACATATTTGCAAGTTGATCTTCAAATCTCACAAATGGAGTCGTAATTTTTTTATCTACTATCTTGTCTCGAATAAAATGACAATCAACTTTAATATTTTTGATTTTTTTGTGAAACATTGGATTGACAGTGATATGAATAGTTGTTTGGTTGTCACTAAACTATTGTAAAGGGGGTTAGACTGAAAATTCAATTTCTTGGAGAAAGTGTAGTGGTCACGTCAAGTCACTCGTTGTATGCGTCATTGCTCTATATTCAGCCTTAACACTGGATTTCACATCCACGTGTTGTTTCTTACTTTTTCATGTGACAATATTACCTCATAAGAAAGTACAATAACCAGTGGTTAATTTCTGATCAGAATGAGAGCCAGCCCAATTGGCATTTGAGAAACCTTCCATTCTCAGATATCCATTAGCTCGATATAATCCAAGGCCGGGAGCAGGTTAAAGATATCGCAGAATACGAGTAACTGTCTCCCAATGTGGTACTCGAAGATATTCCATAAACTGATTTATTACACTAATTGCATAGGATATATCCGGTCGAGTAATAGTGAGATAATTGAGTTTTTCAACCAACCGGCGATACCAACCTGGATTCTCAAATAGTGTATCATCATCCATAAACAATTTCTGATTTATATTTATAAAAATATCAATTAGTCTGTTACCCAAGTAAACCTGTTTTCTCTAACTTGTCAAGTACATACTTTTTCGGGATAAACAAATACCCTGTTTAGATCGAGACACCTTAATACCCAAGAAATACCTGAGTTTTCTCAAATCGTTAGTATGAAATTTGTTTTGTAGGAAGCTTTTTAACTTGGCAATTCTCTCAGAATCATTTCAATAATTACAATATCATCTACATAAACCACTAAAATAGCATATCCATCATTTGTCCGTGTATGAAACACTGAGTGGTCTGACCAAACTCTAAAACTACATTTGAAAACTTACCATACAATGCTCTCGGTGATTGCTTCAAACTATACAAAAATTTCTTTAACCGACGACATACACTCTTACTATATTCCCCTTGAGTAGTAAATCTAGGTGGCTGCTTCATGTATAATTTTTGATTTGTATCCATAGAAACATCAATTGGTCTGTCCCCCAATAAACCTATTTTCTCTAGCATGTCAAGTATATATTTCATCTAGGATAAACAAATATCCTGTTTAGATTGAGCCACCTCAATATCCAAGAAATACTTGAGTTTTTCTAAATCCTTAGTTTGAAATCTGTTTTGCAAGAAGGTTTTTAACTTGACAATCTCCTCAGAATCATTTTCAGTAATTACAATGTCATCTACATACACCACCAAAAGAATATATCCTGCATCCGTGTGTCTAAGAAACACAGAGTGGTCTATCTGACAATGAAGAAGACTAAACTCTAAAACTGCATTTGAAAATTTACCGAACCATGCTCTCGGTGACTGCTTCAAATCATACGAAAGTATCTTTAACCGACATATTCTTACCATACTCTCTTTAAGTAGTAAACTCAGGTGACTGTTTCATGTATACCTCTTCAACTAAGTCATTATGTTGGCATCTAAGTGAAACAAGGGTCAATTAAGATTAGCAGCCAAAGAAATCAAGATCCGAACAGAAGAGATTTTGGCAACAGGATAAAAGGTCTACTCATGATCAACACCATAGGTATGAGTGAAGCCCTTTGTAATAAGACGGGCTTTGGACCATAGAACCATTCAGATAAAATTTTACATTATACACTCGACGACAATCAATAGTTTGTTTACTAGGAGGTAAAGGAACAAGATCTCAAGTCCCATTATGATATAAGATATTCACCTCTTTCATAGATTTTCTTCAACTCGGATCAAACAATGCATCCTGTAAGTGCTTAGAAATAGAGATAGTAGATAATTGAGAGGTAAAACGAAAGAAGACATAAGACAATGAATTATATGAAATAAAATGAGCAATAAGATGATTGGTAACACACAAATGTGTACTTTTTCGAAAAGTAATAGGTAAAGAGTCTAAATTACCTAATGAACTAGGATTTAGAGACGGCAGGGAAGATGGTAAAGGCACCTCAGTCGATGGGCGAGAACAACGAGAGTATATACGAAGTGGTGAAGTAGATGGTAGCACAATTGAGAGTGGAATATCTGACAGTAAGGGAAGAAGTGGTGGTATAAGAGACGACTCAAAGTCTAGATCCGAAGGCTAAGGTGCTAGAAAATATAGAATAGATTCCTCAAACGTGACATCAACACTAATAAAGTATCGACGAAAGGAAGGATTATAGCAACGATACCCCTTTTGTGTGCGGAAATATCTAAGAAATACACATTTAATTGCTCGAGGGTCAAGTTTATCTAACTCAGGGCCCAAGTTGTGAACATGTCAGAAACATTCAAAAATCTTAGGATGTAAGGAAAACAAGGGTTTATCAAGAAAAAAAGACAAAATATAGACTATGCTCATTTAACACAGAGGAAGATATACGATTAATAAAGTAACAAATAGTAAGAAGAACATCACTCCAAAAATAACGGGGAACATTCATCTGAAATAGCAGTGCACAGGTGATTTCCAACAAATAACGATTGTTACTCTTAGCGACACTATTATGAGGAGAGGTGTAAACACATGAAGTTTGATGAATAATGCAAGTTTTACTCAGATAAGTTGAAAAGGGATTAGATTAATATTCTCGAGCATTATCAGAATGTAAAATACGAATACGACAACCATATTAGACTTTTATTTCTTTACGAAAGGTTTCAAATATAGAGAACAATTTAGAATGAACTTTCATAAGAAATAACCATGTCACACGAGAGTAATTATTCACAAATGACGCAAAATAAAGATATTTATTAGATTAAATATTCTTTATTGGACCTTATACATCAGAGTAAACTAACTCAAATGGATTAGAAACACGATTATTGACTCTAAATTGAAATGACATACAGTGATATTTACTAAGTTGACAAGCTTCACACGACATAGACGACACATAACTAAGATTTGGGATTTGGCGCTTCAGATTTTGGAGAGAGGGATGCCCAAGGCGACAATGCCACTGAAAAGGGGACGACGAGGTCTGTAGCCTAAGTAGTTAAATCAAAGTCAAAGTAATAAGCCAACCAGCTTCGTGCCTTGTTACTAATCTTCTTCTTCGTCTTGAGATCTTGAAATACACAATGAGAGGAATAAAAGGTTACGAAAAAATTCAGGGAACTGGTAATCTTGCTAATGAAAAGTAAACTAAAAGGAAATTGAGGAACAACTAACACGGAGGACAGGGACATATTAGGATTCAAATGAGTAATCCTCAAACCTGAAATTTTAGAGCAAGTACCATTAACAAGAGTAAAACTGTGTGTAGAAGTAGCAACCAATCATGTGGTCAGACGCACCAGAGTCTATGATCCAGAGACTGCAGGTAGGGGACATTAAACAAGTGGAGGCTGTACTTGACTGGGCAAAAGTAGTTATGGAGGAAGATGGACTAACCTGTTGCTGGGACAGGAACTGAGAATACTCGTCTCGTGTAATAGTAATTGACCTAGAGTCAGTGGAGCTGATCGAGGTACAGAGGCAACAACTGAGGTGTCATTCTGATAGGAAACTTGATTAGTAGCATTGGAAGGTTTTTCATGTAAATTCCAACAAAAATCAGTAGTGTGCCCTCCACGACCAAAGTGAATACAGGAACGAGAGCCACTACGGCCCCCGCGATCACCACTACGGCCTCTAGTACAACCTGCCCGGCCTCCACGACCATTGCGATTGCCACGGCTATCTTGATGACCATTATTGTGGCTACTAGGAATCACGAGAGCTGAGCGATCGGTGGAGATACCATGATTGATGCCTGAAGGAGCAATAGACAAGGTAGCACGCTATAAAGGAGATAAAACCTCAAGTGGAGAAGGAAGATTGGAGCCACCCAAAATTTGAAAGTGAATAGACTCATATTCAGGTTTCAAACCTACTAGAAATCGCACAATATTCAAATCTTTATGTTGTTTCTATCAAACTGTTGCATCAGTAGGGAATGGATGGTAAAACTTTA